AGAGATTAAATTTGTTAGATCAACTACACTGTCATACAAACACAGAGATATACAGACACAGACATATAGAGACATACATACACAGGCAATCTTACAGACTGACTGTCTGTGTATATACACAGGGTGGCTAAAAGACAGATGCCCATCTGTCGTGCAACTTCAACAATGCTTTGAAAGCTGAGGCTCTACCGATTCCCCATGCTTGCAGGATTGTATTTAGCACTGAGCAGTATTTGTGTATTTGAATGTTTTTGTATGGAGTATGTTTGTGTGAATGTAGGGGTGTGTTTGTATGTAGTGTTTGCGTTTGAATGCAAGCATGCATTTGTGTTGTGTTGGTTTGTGTTTGTGTTGGTTTTTGAATGCAACTTTGTGCCCTGACCACAACGCTCCGACCTCGTGAGAGGAACCTGGCGAGCTGCTAGATAGAAGTCCTCTCCTCTCTCCCTCCCCAGCTGGTGGCCCCATTACACTGCCTTTGGGCTGGTGAGGGAGATCTTTGATCTCCTCACTGGCCCGTCGTGGAAAACTGCAGGGCTGGTGCTTGGATAGCAAGGGCCCTGCATGGACCAACCGAGGAGATCCCGTGACCGCCTCGGCCCATGGCTATCGCTGCCCACTGGGCATTTGCCCGATGGCCAGTCTGGGCCTGGCTCTCACACAAGAGGTGGTATTCACAATCCTATTTTGTGTGCCAGGGATAGGTTTAATTTTTCGCTATCTCTTGGCTTCCCTCCATATCTTTTTAGCTTTGTATAGCGTTTCCAGAATGCACATGTGCGATTTTAGGCTAAGCAAGGGCCAGACTGACATACCAGGACCTCTTCTGTGTGTGTCTGACCTGTGAGAGCAGAGCATGGGGTTATAATCGCCCCAACCCTAAGATCTACACAAAACCAAGAGACCTGTAGCAGTGACAAGTCAGACCACGGACCATCAGGATTTAGGAAGCAGGGAATGGAAGACTCTACACCTCAGCTGTTATGGATTTTCCCCTCTTTATCTCTACCATGTATCACACAGGTGAGCTTCCCCCAGAGAGGAACAAATAAGACTTGTTGAAGATGTCATGGAACACATTTCTTATGCTCAACGAGCATAATGGGAAGTTGTGTGGTGGCTGAAAATCATGGGATTTCTAGTCCAAGGATTGCCCTTCTTATCATGCTTAACCAGCATCATAGGAACATCATGACTGTCTATCATGGGAATTGTGGTTGACAGCTGAGATCTGTCCCTCCTGCAGCACTACAGTGCTACCAGCCACCATCATGATAACATTTTATTTGGAGTTGTTGTCCTCACTTTTGTCACTATTATGTCCAACCTATTGGAGGTAGACTGCTGTGAATAGCTGGCATGTTGTATGGTGTGGCCAGAAGACTACATGGTTGTAATAACAATACAACTCGCAGTAAAGTGTTTAAACTGCCGTAAATGTGTTTAATATATTGGTGATTACTGTAAACAAAATACTTTATCTATGCACTTTGCTTATTCTTTTAGCATAAGCAGAGATATTAGTTGCCAATGAAGTAACGTTCCTATAATGCACTCCAATTGCCAGATCTTGCCACACTCCCCAAAACAAAAGTATTACTTGTTGGGCATATGAAATGTTGGGAGGAGTAAATTGATAAGTACTTTATCACTATGTGTGGTTGTCAGAATGTATGCTGGTGGTCAGAGGCGGCTCTCTAATTAGGCGATTTAGGCGGCCGCCTAAGGCCTCGCACTGGCTGGGGCCTCGCGGCCGCCTAAACCACCTGTGGGCAGACTGTGTTGGGTCCTCGGTCAGTGACAGAGGACCCGACACTAGGAGGGGGCCCGGCAGCTTGCCCGGTATGCCGCCAGGTGCGAGGCCCCTCCTGGCTGCCCGGCCAGCCACTGCAGACACGGTCTCCAGCTCTGCAGTGACCATGTGTCTCGTGAGAACTGGCCAATCAGAGTGTTGTTGCGGGTTACCATGGCAACACTCTGATGGTCTCGCGAGATTACATGGTCTGCAGCCAGCTCTGCGGAGCTGCAGACTGGAAGCAATGACCACCGGACCACCAGGGAGCCCACTGGACCATCAGGGAGTAAAGGTAGGCTCTCTCTCACCCCCCCCACCCTCAGTCTCACCCCTCCACCCTCTGCCTCACCCCCCCCACCCACCTTCAGCCTCCCACCCCCCACCCACCTTCAGCCTCACACACCCTCAGCCTCACGCCCCCACACCACCCTCACGCCTCACTCCCTCATCCCACCACCTTCACGCCTCACTCCCTCATCCCACCACCTTCACGCCCCACCACCCCCTCCTTCTCACATCACCCTCCTTCTCACATCACCCCCCTCCTTCTCACATCACCCTCCTCCTTCTCACATCACCCTCCTTCTCACATCACCCTCCTCGCTCTCACACATCACCCCCTCCTCGCTCTCACATCACCTCCGCCTCCTCACATCACCCTCCCTCCCTCAGCCTCACACATCACCCTCCCTCCTCGCTCACATCACCCCCCTCCTCGCTCTCACATCACCCTCCGCTCTCACATCACCCTCCTCTCGCTCCTCACATCACCCCCCTCCTCTCGCTCATCACCTCTCACATCACCCTCCTTCTCGTTTCACATCACCCTCCTTCGCTTCACATGTTACTACCCCCTCTCCTCTCGCTCACATCACTCCCTCCTCTCGCTCTCCACACCGCCACCCTCCTCTCGCTTCACGCCACCCCCTCCTCTCGCTTCACGCCACCCCTCCTCGCTTCTCACGCTTCACCCTCCTCTCGTTCTCACGCTACCCTCTCCCTCTCTCAGTTTTCACGCTACTCCTCCTCTCGCTTCTCACGCTACCCTCCTCTCGCTCTCACGCCACCCACCTCTCTCCTCCTTCTCACGCTACCCACCACCCTCCTCCTTCTCACATCACCCCTCTTTCTCCTTCCTCTTCTCGCCATCACCCTCTCCTTCTCCTCTTCTCACATCACTCCACCCCTCTCCTCCTTCTCACATCACCCAATTTCTCTCCTCCTCTTCTCACACACCTCCTCCTTCTTCTCACATCACCTACCCCTCTCCTCCTTCTCACATCACTACTTTCTCTCCTCCTTTTCTCACATCACCTACCCTCCTTCTCACATCAGCCCTCCTCACAGGAGGTAGCCAACACTGATAGAGTATATATATATATATATATATATATATATATATATATATATATATATTTATTTATAATTTTTTTATTTTTTTTCTTGCAGTCCTGATGCATGGAGAAAAGGCCTTCACAAGCCTCTGCTATTGTGTACATAGTTTATACTAAGTGACCCATAGGTTGAGGAGGCAGTGACCATGGAGGAGGTAGCCAACACTGTTTTTTTTTTTTTTGTTTGTTTTTTTTGGGGTAGCCCCCAAAATATTGGGACATATAAAAAAAAAGACAACTCTGTTCTGCAGAGTGACTGACCTGTGCGTGCAGCTGAAACTATCGCCTGCTGCTGCTCGCACAATCTCATGAGGCAGTGAGCAGGAAGGCCGAAGTTACGCTGCAGCGCAGGCAGGCGAGCAGCAGCAGGGTGAGAACGCCAAAAGCATGCACAGACGGCCCGCACTTGCTGCAGCAGCTCTGATATATCTGGGTAGTTTTTCAGGAATTTCTGCACCACCAAATTCAGCACATGCGCCAGGCAAGGGATGTGCGTCAAACCGGCTAGGCCCAGAGCTGCTACGAGATTTCGCCCATTATCGCACACCACCAGGCCGGGCTTGAGGCTCAGTGGCCACAACCACTAATCGTTCTGTTGTTTCATGCCTGTCCACAGCTCCTGTGCGGTGTGGAGTTATTCCCCCAAACATATGAGTTTGAAAACAGCCTGCTGTCGTTTCCCCCTGGCTGTGCTAAAGTTGGTGGTGAAGGTGTTACGCTGACTGGATGAGGAGGTGGTAGAGGAGGAGGAAGAAGCTGAGTAGGAGGAGGAGGCAACAGGAAGCAAAGCTGTGTACCCAAACAAAGATGGTCAAACGTTGTATCCTGGAACTGTGTTCCATCCGGTTACTGGGGAAATGGGTCTGACCTATTCTAATCAAAGGGGATAACCATCGGTTACCCAGGTCCCGCTTCAATTGGTGGCAAGCGGCGGGATTCCATGTCCCTGCCAACAGACCCATGGACTACAGTGCTCTAAAGTGACCTACACTGCAGGACTTGTGTGGAGCCAGAGGAATAACGCCTGGTGGGCGTAACAAGGCTGAATTGACTGCTGCGCTCATGGAGGACGACCAGGCACGCAGTGAGGCAATGAACACCAGCCAGGGGCCCGAGATGAGGAGGAAGTGCGCAAGGAGTTGTAACGGCACCTGGCATATTGCCGAGATTGACAGCAGGACCTTTTTGGAGATGCAAGCCTATGTCCTTGCCAATAGACAGAGGGCGACCTCCATGAACCCAGATGAAGGGAACAGAGGGCGCCGTGAAGTACAACCACCCTGGCCCACAAGCTACCATACAATGCCTTCAAAGACTTCAAGGAAGCAGAAGAAGGCGTAGATGACTTCTTACAAGTCTTTGAGCGCCAGTGCCAATTCCAAGACGTGGACCCCAGCGACTGGGTCACCATCCTGGCCAGCAAACTAGTAGGGAAGGCAGAGGATATTTACCGGGCTGTACCAGAAGAGCAGATCAGAGACTATCCCTTTTATTACCCAAATCTTCCTGGCCCGGTATGCGGTCACCCCCGAGCAATACCACTGAACGTTTAGGGAGACCCGGAAAGGGGCAGAAGGACTCCCATGCGGAGTGGGCTTGCTGCATCACAAGGGCCACCCAGATCCCGGAGGATATCACCCAGCTCATCATGCTAGAGCACTTTTTCAACGGGCTCCCCAACAACATGGCTGGTGAGAGACCGCCAGACCCAAGAAGTATTGGTAAGAGCTGCTGAAGCTAGCTCACAATATCCCCTTGGCAGGGCATTTGGGCAGGAGCCGGACAGCGTCTCGGCTCACTCACAGCTTCTTCTGGCCATGCATCTCTCAGGATCTGAAGCAGTACTGCCAGATGTATGCCAGAGAGTGGGGAAGAGAAGGAACCGGCACAGGGCCCCCCTCCATACCCTACCTATTAGTGAAGATCCGTTCGCCTCCATACCCTACCTATTAGTGAAGATCCGTTCGGCAGAGTAGCTGTCGACAATATAGTTGCACAGGCACTTTGACGTCCCCGTGGCGCCTTTGCATTTGGATGTCTACCCTATCAACTTTCGATGCCAGTTTCTGCGCTGACCATGGGTAACGGGGAATCATGGTTAGATTCCAGAGAGGGAACCTGAGAAACTGCTACCACATCCAAGGAAGGCAGCAGGCGCGCAAATTACCCACTCCTGACGCGGGGAGGTAGTGACGACAAATAACAATACAGGCCTCTTTAGAGGCCTTGTAATTGTAATGAGTCCACTTGAAATCCTTTAACTACGATCAATTGGAGGGCAAGTCTGGAGCAGAGCGACTGACCCGTGCGTGCTGCAGCTGAAACTCCACTATCGCCTGCTGCTTCTCGCACAGTCTCTCCAGCATGTGCAAGGTGGAGTTCCACCTTGTGGGCACATCGCATATGAGGCAGTGAGCGGGAAGGCCAAAGTTACAGGCGAGCAGCAGCAGGATGAGAACACCAAAAGAGCGCACAGCCGCTACAGTGAATGTCACATCCCGTTCCAAGTTGCAGATCAGTCTGGTGATGACTTCTGGTATCCAGTACTCTTTTTACTGAAGCTGCATCAGGGTCCTGGTATGTGGCCTCACAAACACTGGTGCTCAACACCAGGGGCGTGCGGTTACCCTGCTAATCCATTTCACACTGTGACTCCTAACTTCAACATCAGGCATACTGGGTCCCGGTCGTCCGACCGCCGCCCAGACAGTATCTGGGTTCTGGTCACTGGACTGCCCTCCTGACTGTGAAACTCCGAATGGCTCATTAAATCTGGTACGAACCCAAACTTTGCAGTTTGGGTTCGCTCAACTCTATTATGGATCCTTTGATCGCTACAACTGTTACTTGGATAATTGGTAATTCTTGAGCTCTGTTTTTGCACCCTGCTCCCTCTTATGCTGTGCTGGTGCCTCTGTGCGACCAGCGTCTCTTCCTCCAAACTGCACACGTCACTTGCATGACCTTGATTCCATGTGGGGTCTAGGACCTAATCATCCTCCACATCATCTTCCACCCACTCCTCAACTCTGCCCTCCTTGCTGGTCTGCACACTGCAGAAAGCCACAGCAGTTGGCACCTGTGTTTTTCCAGCATGTAAACTCTGCAAAGGACATATGGGAACTGTTTTAGAATTGTATCCAGGCAACAGTTTTCCCTATAAACTGACCTCTCAGTTTGACTTGTGAGGGTATTGCCCCTGAATTACAATATTGTTATGTTGGTATTTGACGCTTCTATTTTACTCTCAGATATGAAGAGCACGCCCCAAATGTACTATTTAGCACAAAAAAAATGACTTTTTAAAACTCTTATGTAACCGTAGTATTTGACGCTTCTATTTGACTCTCAGATATGAAGTGCACCCCTCTAATGTACTAGTTTGCAGAATTCTTTCCTAATCTGTCCCTGAAAGTGGCAGCATCCTCTCCCTACACTAATAAGAGCTCATGTGACATGCAGCGCTACGTGTCTCCAGCTTATATATATAGAGACTGGGTCACATTCTGCACTGGCCAATCACAGCCATGCCATTAGTAAGCATGGCTGTGATGGCTTCTAAGGGCACATGAGTCAAACGCTTGTTGATTGACTGCCCTGCAGCCTTTCAAACGTGCCATTAAATCGCCAAACACTGAACTCCAACCTGAACATACAGTGATATGTCAGTGTTCGGCTCTGGGGTTCGCTCAACTCTAATTACTAACACTATTGTGTTCCTTTAAGTTGGTCTTTGAAACACACATTAAGGTGGTTTAAGCACTCCAGTATTACCAGGCAAAGTGGTTGGTTGGCTTAGAGTAAACCTTAAGTGCTATAAACCTCTGCCTATCTATCTATATAGGACTAAACATTCTAGTTTGTTTTATAGCTCCCTTGATGGTACTTGGAGATGGGGTCTCTGAATAACGTGGGGATTACCTGTATTCCTACACATACATGAGAATACAGTACTAACTTTACTCTGATTGCAAGAAAAATATGGACCTGAGAGAACAGTCCTTTTAAAGGAGCACTCCAGGCCAGGGGTGTATTTACCACGAGGCTGAAAAGGCATATGCCTTGGGCGGCACTTTCTAGGGTGCAGCAAATGCCTTGCCAGCCTTTTGTCCTGGGCGGCCCAGGAGCTGGTCGGCTGGCTACCTCAGGGCACCCCATGGCTGGCAGCAGTGGCACTTGGCGGGCGGCGAGGGAGCACTGATCCTCCTGTTCGGCTCCCTCGTGGACATCGCAGTGATGCCAGAGCCGGAATATGATGTTGCCCCGGCATCACTACGCGGTGCACGAGGGAGCTGAACAGGAGGATCAGTGCTCCCTCTGTGACTGCAGTGACCGGCCAGCAACCCCACTGGACCCCAGGGAAAGCGAGAATCCACTCCAGCACCCCCAAAGGTAGGGAGGCTGGGGGGGGGGGGATTAAATTAAAATTTATTTATTTTTATTTTTTTAAATGTGAGCCTGTTTGTGTCTGTTAGTGAATGTGTTAGTGTGTGTCTGTTAGGGTGTGTGTGTGTCTGTTAAGGAGTGTATATGTGTCTGTCAGTGAGTGTGTATTTAGAAGGTGGGGCAGTGGGTGCCTGAGATTTGTCATGGCTAGGGCAACACAAAACTAGGATACACCACTGCTCCAGGCACCATAAAATCCTAATCTCATCTGGACTCTCTGTTCTTAAGGAGTTAAACAGTTTACAAATTGTTTAACCCCAAAGTGTTGCAGACTATGCTTGTCTTTAAGGACCTTGTGACTTCTCCACAGTCCCTGGCTTCAAAGGGAATGTGAGGACAAGTGCTGTCTTGAACACTTTGGTGTTAAGACATTTGTAAACCATTTAAGCCCTTAAGATAAGACTGTGCCCAGAATCTCCAAGGACCAGAATTGTATTAAGGTTGCCCAGTGCCTTGTGCATGTTGCCTGATAGGAAAGCTCTGTTTCTGTGAGCTGTGTGTGTGGTGATTAAGTGTTTGTGGTTTTGTGTGTGTGTGTGTGTTTTCTCTCTGGGGGAGACCAAATTTGCTGGCTTGGTGGTGTGTGTGTGTGTGTATTTTGCCCCCCTCCTGCTTACCCTTTACCCGGGTGGTCTGGTGGAAAATGAGTTGGATCCCTGGTGGTTTGGTGGGTGAGCATTGTGGTCTGCACCTCTAAAGCTTCTTCGAGCAGGTGAGAGAACACTGGGCTGAGGAGGAAGATTTATTAATCCCACTTCCAGCTCAAGGAGGGCCCCCTCACAGCTAGAGCTCCAAGCTTTGGCTAACCAGGCTATTAATCTCCCTGTCAGCTCAAATAAGGTCCTTCGGCCAGAGCGAGAACTCTAGGCCCAGAAAGTCTGAAATTGGGCCCTATTCTTCTTGATAGATAATCCGGCCATGCCAGGGATCACACCAACTTAATTGAGGTGAAGTTGTTATGGTTCCCAGTGTGTGTGTGTGTGTGTGTGTGTTTGGTTTGTTTGTTTACAACCAAATAACCAAAAAAGTGTATAAGCGCTTAAGGACCGAAAAGTAAGTGATGAATGTCCACAGTTACAGCTTCACTTCCCCAAAGTGACAAGAAATATACCAAACAAACGTAGCACACTTAAACTGAATCAGATCCATTTAAAAAAAAAAGATTTTTAGGTCATTTACTTAGGAGTAGTTGTAAATTACATTTATATGTACCATAGTTTGCTCTGATAACACAAACCAGGTGACATGTTTTCTGCAATATAATTTCAAACGTTGCTGATATTTTTACTTTTATTTCTCGTGCAATTTGGCTCTCTTTAGACGCCTTAACTATATTTTATACTGCTCAAATTTTGGAAAAGCAAAGGGGCTTAATGACAGAGAGAAGGCTGCTCCACCAATATGATGTGTTAATATGAGCCCTCTTCTTCTCTTGTCCCATATGTGTTGGGGTAATACCACTCAATATGGGGCAGAAGTAATAGGAACTTAGGAAGTATAAGAGGCAAGATGTTCCAACAATTTAGACGCAGGATCCTTCAACATGTTGGATCAGTTACTAACTCCAACACCAGTTGCCAGACACATTACTAATTTCCACTAAGGCAGAATGGATAACCTTAAATTCCAGGCAATTGAGAAACTCCTACCTAATCCCAGGAAAGGCAATTTTAATATACAATTTGATATTGATTGTCACACTTATACAGCACATATTCCGCTCTATTTTCTTTTTATTTTAGTTTAATTTCTTGACCTTTTTCTCTTGTCACAGTTTACAGCTTGAGGATTGGATTTAAGTATCCTTATTAACTTAATATCACCTATTATACATATCAAGATCTGAAACTATTAGGTACCCAATTCTTATTGTTGGGAATTCCTATTGTATGAATCTTTTCCTTCAGTTACTTTTTAATTTTTTTTAGTAAATTTGCTAAATCTAGCTTCAATTATTTACTTAATTAATTGTTCCCGTTATTATTCTTTCTGTACATTAATTGCATTTTCAAATTTGTTGTGGACATTTTTTTAAATTTTCTCTTACAGTACCTGTATGCTTTTGTACTATACCGGCCACCATCTTCTCCCATAAGCCGTCTGGTGATGTCTTAATCGCATTTCTCACTCGCCGATCACTGCAGAGAGCGCGATCTTTAAACCTGTGCTAACAGGGATTCTGTTCCGCTTTGAAGAGCTGCTTACCGGCACAACACGCATCGGGGTTCATTTTGTCAGATACGCACAGCCTCCTACATTGATATTACTTCCACCAATGATGCTGATATTATTTGGATAATTTTTTCTTCAATGTTATTCGGCTGTTGGAATTTTCGGCATATCTGTCTCCTGCATCACCGTATTCAATAGTGTTCTTTTACTATTGCGGGAGGCTGAGTTATCTTTTAGGCAGTTAGACTAGTCATTTCGTTTGATAGGTCCCCCTGAAGGCACAGAGTTACCTTATCTACTCCAGACGAGTCTCTTATGGTTTTTTTTCGTTAACCATTTAGTTCAGTAATTTCTTTCCAACACCTTTTATTTAGGTAGCACTATTAGATTAATTTCTCTACAATCTAAGATTTTGTACATGTCGCTGCAGCAGTTATTAGGATATATATATATATATATATATATATATGGCTTAGAGTAAACCTTAAGTGCTATAAACCTCTGCCTACCTATCTATATAGGACTATATATATATTACTCCATATACCTCAAACAACTGTTTAGGTGATATTTAC